TGCAGTAATGCTGATTTTCTGTGTTTTCTAGCCTCTGAGACTAGACATCAAACGGAAACTGACTGCTCGGTCTGACCGAGTGAAAAGTGTTGACTTGCATCCAAGTGAACCATGGATGTTGGCCAGTCTTTACAATGGCAGTGTCTGCGTGTGGAACCACGAATCCCAAGTATAGTATTAATGCCTCTTCCAGTTCTGGCAGATGTTACAATTGTTAAATAGTGTTTAATAAAATATTTAATATTTACGTCATTTCAGACCACCCCACTGCAATTTGCTCCTAAAATTGCTTTGCCACACTGTTTCTGTCCCAGAGAAACAGATTGGTGTTTCTGTTTTCCCTTCCAAGAAAAACCACCTTTTCCCCTGTGTAGTGTCCAACATTTCATTTGTAAAAGACCATGAGACATTCTTTTATGTCAGAAGAATTGTAGTTTGAAGTTATCCTATATCTTTATTTTTAAGACTTGATGAAGGAATGTTTAACATATGGTCAGATATTTCAGAAGTAAAAATCGTCTTAACGTAAAATTGTAATAAGTATTATTTTCTTGATTATAATTCACCCAAAGATAATTAATACCCGCAGTTGCATCTTGTGCCCTATCTCTATGTAAAATGACTATATGATTGCACTGCAATAGATTACAAATCTTCCACTTCCAAGATTCAAGTCAGCCCACATTAGAAATACTCTCCTTGAGGGAATGAACTTGTCCACATCTCAGTTTCAAAATTTAATGCCACTCAAAGAGACAACAGTTGGCAATGGAAATGTCTGAGATATTGTAATGGGGCTGTTTTGAACTTATGTTAAATGATTCTGCACAACCGTTCATACATGCACTTTCTGCTCTGAGAATGACTAATGTCACTGCTACAAAATAAGAATAGATATTTAATTTTCCCAGCCCACATGTCCATATCTACAAAACTTAAAAAATATTCAAATTAAACAAGCTTCTATCTTGGTTATTCAAAGATAAGTGGTTCCATCACATGGGTCTTTCTTGCTCTCATTTCTTCCTGTATTTAGTTTAGCAAATGTATACTAGTGTTTTAAATGAATGGGATATCACTGTTAGTGTGTGAGTTTCAACTGAATTGATTGTATTTACTTTTTATACTATTTGTGTACTCTTTCAGACTCTTGTGAAGACATTTGAAGTGTGCGACCTGCCTGTCAGGGCATCCAAGTTTGTGGCACGAAAGAACTGGGTCATCACAGGAGCAGTAGGTATCTTTGATTGTAAACTTTATGATTCGAAAGAGGTGCGCTTCCTTGATAACACTCACTTAAAAATGCAGCTCAATGCAATGTAGCACCATCCAGACCAGAGGGTTATATGAGCAGTCCATCGTCTCTCTTGTACTGGTAGATGTCAGCTAGACTGCAATGGGGGCAGTGATCTTGGCCTCTCAATCCTCAGTGGAGGAAGCAACTTGCAGACATTGCTGCAATATAATAAAATGTCTCAAGATTTAAATGTCTTTTATATTGCAGAATTTCAGAAGGGTAAGACCAGATATAGTTACATCGCCTAATCAACATCCAGTGACTGAAGTTGAAAGTTTGTGGTTAAATATCTGTTGTGAGCCTTCAGCCTAAGGTGTAATAACCCATCCATATTGAATAGCCAATTGACATTCAGACCAAGGTTCATGTTTGAATGGTTACTTGGTTGAGGGATAAAGGCATCTGGATGGGTACATGAATAGAAAGGGGTTAGAGGGATCTGAGCCAAATGCTTGCAAATGGGACTAGATTAATTTATTATATCTGGTTGGCATGGATGAGTTGGACTGAAGAGTATGTTTCTGTATAACTCTTACGATAAGAGCATTGCTCACAACCGAGGAACCAATAAGGATTCGGCATGTAAACGTGCGAACATTTTTTTAAATTCAAAAATGAAGAAGGAACAATTACCTTTCTTAAATAAAATTACACACCTAAACTATAAATGGCTTAAGTTTTTTTTGTTGGCCAGAACTTTCCCAAGTATTAAAACAATTTTGTTTGTTTGTTTGAAAATGTTTGGAGAATCCAAAAGGCCAGCATGTCTAAGGAAGATAAATTATTGATATTGGTTGGTCCCACAGTGCTTTGACAATACCACAATCTCATGTTTTGTTGTGAAATCAGCCATTTGTCGTTTAGATGATATAAACAGTGAATCAAGGTTATATCTGCAGTTTGTGTTGGTATTAGAAGGATGATGTGTGTCATTTTGAAATAGCAGTTCACAAAAACTTGTACATCTTAGATTTCCTGTAACATCTAGGGACGATAAGGCATAATTTGTTGCCTTGTAATTTAGGATGACATGCAAATCAGAGTCTTCAATTACAACACACTGGAGAGAGTTCACATGTTTGAAGCTCATTCAGATTACATTCGTTGTATTGCTGTTCACCCAACTCAACCTTACATCTTGACCAGCAGTGGTGAGTATATTTCTTTTCTTTTGGCTTTAAACATTTCAATGTTGTTACCTGCAAATGTAAAATTAATAGAAAGTTTTTTTATTTCTTTAGTTTTTTTTATATTGAAAAGATTGTTAAAATCTTGAGAGTGAAAATCTGTCTCTGCAGACACTTTTTTGGTTGTTTTAGTTTCTTGCTGATTTCTGGAATAGTTTCAAAAACTGATAAATTGTTTCCTTGGTAGATGACATGCTTATCAAACTGTGGGATTGGGAGAAGAAGTGGACCTGCACCCAGGTTTTTGAAGGGCACACTCATTATGTTATGCAAATTGTCATCAACCCGAAAGACAACAACCAATTTGCAAGTGCATCCTTAGATAGGACCATTAAGGTATGTGAACAAGCTGTTAGGGTGTGACAATACTATTTGAAAGAATGAGTTGAGTAATCTCAGTAGTTAAAATCATTCAGTGTAAAAGGGCATATAGAGAAATTTGAAAACAATGATTACTTTTCAGTCTAAAATAGGGAAACAAGTAATGCTGTGCTAAAACGTTGTACTTGGTTCAAAAATGTATTTTATTTTGTAAAGATCTGATGTTGAGCAAAGTGTGTTGGTACACTTCAGGTGTGGCAGCTTGGGTCATCCTCACCTAATTTCACCTTGGAGGGCCATGAAAAAGGAGTGAACTGCATTGACTACTATAGTGGTGGTGATAAGCCCTATCTGATTTCTGGAGCTGACGATCGCCTAGTTAAAATCTGGGATTACCAGGTACAGATAAATTATGACATTAAGTAATTGTTCATGCATGTTTAGTAATTATGTAAGAATATTTTATGGTGCATTGGATTTTATTTAATAATAAAGGTTGATTCTGCAAAATGATGTAACGTAAACATTGTTTCCATAATGATCAAATTATACAAAAGTGTTGGCTATATTCTTCATTGTGATTAAAAGGCAAAACTTCAAACCATTATGGGTCAAGAACTGACAAAAGCATAGATGCAGCAGCAAAATGATCAATATTTCCACCAGGGTAAAATCAGCTGATCATCTAATTTATATAAAATCATTGCCAATACTTGCAAAAATTGGTGAAGCTGAACATATTGCTGTGTGCAGTGATTACTCTATTGCCAAAAGGGAGGCCTTTGGTCTTATCGCTGGACCGTTAATCCAGAGACCCAGGTATTGTTTTGGCGACCCGGGTTTGAATCCTACTTTGGCAGATGAAATTTGAATTCAATAAATATCTAGATTTAAGGGTCTAATGGGGCCCATAAAACTATTGCCAATTATTGTAAAAATCTATGTGGTTCACTAATCTCCTTTAGGGAAGGAATCTGCCATCCTTACCTCATCTGGTCTATATGTGACTCCAAACCCACAGAAAGTTAGTTACTGTTAACTGCCCTCTGGGGAATTAGGGATGGGCAAGAAATGCTGGCCTAGCCAGTTACACTCTCATCCAGTAAATGAATGAAAAAATTCAACCTAATAACTAATCCAACTTTTTATTTCTAAATTATTAAATAAGTATTAATGTTATAAGTTAAATAATACTGCTTTGCTTGTAGAATAAGACTTGTGTTCAGACACTGGAGGGCCATGCTCAGAATGTCTCTTGTGTTAGCTTCCATCCTGAACTTCCAATTATCATCACTGGATCAGAGGATGGTGAGTATTACTGAAATTTAAATAATTAATGATAGCAAATTATGTGCTTTTAAAATTGAAGAGAAGCTTTCAAATGAATATAGAAAATTCCGAATAACTATGCTAGAGAATTGATAATTGCAGCTTTTTCGTGTAGTTTCTTTGTGACGTGGTCATTTTTGATTGACATGGAGGGGAGCTGTCTGTAGCTTAGTGAAGGTGTAAAATAGATAATGAAGAAATTGTTTAGTATTAATTGTTACTAAAAAGAGACCAGAAATTGAAGCTTTTCATCTTGCACTTGTCAGGACAAGGATGCTAAAAACAGACTTGAAGAAAGGGACATTTGTTTATGCAGTATGTCCTTTTTCTCAAGCCTGTTTTCTTATGGCATGGTCCTGATAAAGTACAAAACGAAAAGCTTTGATTTCTTGTCTCCTTTTAGTAATGTTGGAGTTCTGTGCTCCCAGGCAAAGATTAGTATTAATTGGGAAGCTGTTTTGTGGAAAATGACTTGTAATTGTGATGACCCATGCAATGTTCTCAAAAGCTTACTATTTTGCGTTGGCCCGATGTTGAGAAATGAATGATCTGAAAGTATATCTTTTCTTTGCATTGTAAAGGGCAGGCTGTAAAAGCAGATTGGATTAAACTTGAGTAGAATTGCTGATTGTATCTTCACAATGCTCAGCATTTCTTTGTATGTTACTTTTATTTGAAAGGTTAATTAAAATGTTTCAAAACTTTGTCCATTTTCCACGTTACTACAGGGAAGGGTTTTGAAATTCATTGCTTACCAACACTCATTATTTATAGCTTGTTTAAAGAAAGTTGTAATGGAAAACAATAGATGTGATCAAGAGTAAAAGGAAATGATCTTTTAAGTTATGTCTGGTCTTGATGAAGCAGCATCTGGTGTATTGTATTCTGTTTTTTTTTGCCTTCACCGGAAAATGTAAAATTAGTGGAAGGATTTTAGCAAAGATTTGTAGCTCGGGTTGTGGGTGAGGTTGTTGATTTGCTCGCTGAGCTAGCTAGTTTTCGTTCAGACATTTTGTCACCACACTAGGTAACTTCATTGGTGAGGCTTCCGATGAAGTAATGTTGTTCTACTCCACTAGGAATTTATACTGTCTGGTCTGTTATGGTGAGTAGTGTCATTTCCAGTTTTGTTCTGTATAGGTTTGTATATGGGGTCCAATTCTGTATGTTTGTTGGTTGCATTATGGGTTGAGAATCATGCCTGTAGGAATTCCCGTGTGTATCTATATTTGGCTTGGGCTACTGTGGTTACATTGTCCTAGTTAAACTGATGTCCTTCATTGTCTGAGTAGACTGACATTAAGGAAAGTTTGTTGTGTCGTTTTGCTGCTAGTTGATGTTCATGTATTCTAATGGCTAGTTTCCATCCTCTCTGTCCAATGTAATGTTTGTGGCAGTCGTTGCATGGTATTTTGTAAACCATGTTGGTTCTGCATGTTGTGGGAACAGGGATTTTAATCCTTGTGAGTGTTTGTTGTAGAATAGCTGTGGGTTTGTGTGCTACCATGATTCCTAGTGGTCATAGGAGTCTTGTTGCCAGTTCTGGTATGTTCTTGATGCAGGGCAGTGTGGCCAGTATGTTAGGGTGTACTGTGTCCTCTGGCTGTTGTCTATTTAGTAGACATCTGCGAATGAAGTTGCGGTCCAAACCGGAAGCATACAGAATTGGACCCCGTATGTAAACCCATACAGAACAAAACCGGAACTGACACCACTGTCCATAACAGACCAAACAGTATAAGTTTCAAGCGGAGTTGAATAACATCTCTTCATCGGAGGCCTCACTGATGATGTCACTTAGCGTGGTGACGAAACATCTGAACGAAAACAAGCCAGCTTGGCGAACAAATCAACAACCTCATTAGTGGAAGATCAGAAGACAGTTAAGAGTTTCTGAATTAAAAGGGCTGCGCTTTGAGGGAGGATGTTGTCTTCCCAAACCCCAAAGAGTTCATTTCCTGAAGGAGGAGGAGGAGATGAGAGGGACTGATGAAGATCCTTAAGGTTTCTATTGGAATGAAAACTTTGGATTGAGGAAAATATTTTTGTTGGCCCCAAAATTCAGGAATGAGGAATGTGCATTTTCAAATCAAGGACATTAGAGAAAACTTAAATTTAAGTAACTTTTTGTTTCTTAAATAATGTGATTAAATTGTTAATTAGTTTACTGGTTAGGGTGATTCAGAAGGAAACAAGTTTTAAAGAAGGAATGTATTCTTGTCCGTAAAGAAATGTAGGGTAATAGTTCAAGAATCATGATTTAAACTGATGTAAGAGTCGGAAGAATGGATTGTATGAACCAGTCTCCTCTTGTTCAAAACATTTCTGTGTTACCATGCGTACAACTGACCATTTGCATTTAATCCTTTAAAGGTACTGTTCGTATCTGGCATTCGAGCACTTACCGCCTAGAAAGTACTCTGAATTATGGGATGGAACGAGTCTGGTGTGTGGCAAGTCTGAGAGGCTCCAACAATGTGGCTCTTGGCTATGATGAAGGCAGTATCATCATTAAGGTATGCGAGTTAAAACACTTTTGTTTGTGCATCTATAATTTGCAGTATGAAAATGTAATTCTTTTACGCTCTCAGATCATTGAATGGTGTGATTTCTCGATTCATTTTGCTTTGTACAGGTTACCTATACTATCCCTTAACTGCCATATGTAGAATAGAGTGCAAAATGCTGCAATTTAAGGAGAATCTGGATGTCCTTGCACCTGATTCACAGAAGTTAGGTTGCAGGTACAACGTGGAATTGGGAAGATAAATGTAACGTGGAGAACTGAATTTAACAGTAGCGAAAGCTTGTTATAATAGTGCAGGGCAATTAATTGGAGATTAATTGACACTGAGATATACGGATTTTGTCTCCTAAAGGAGATAGTTGCTTTTGGAAGCAGTTCATAAAGGTTTACTATAATGATTACTGGCACAAAAGAGTTGTCTGAAAAGGAAGGTTTGAGCAGGTTTATAAGAAGGATGGATTAACAAGGATGTTTCCACTCAGAGTTCCAGAATGAGGTGCACAGCTTAAAAAGAGGTCCCCTTTTTATGTTGGAGTTGAGGGATTTCTTCTGTCACAAGGTTATTAGCCTGTACAATTATTTTCAACAGAGAACAGTGGAAGCTGAATTTTTCTCTCAAAGTGAGAGGTTGTTGGAGAATGCAGGGAGGTGGAGGTCAGGCAACAGTCAGAACAGCAATGATCTTGTTGATGGGGAACAGAAAGTCTGGGCTGAATGGCCTTATCTTCCCATTACTTATTGATCCTGTGATCACTCACCTGGTTAGAATGTAGGTGTATATTCATTGATTAGAGGGATTTTGTTGGGAGGAGATAAGGTTTAATTTACACACAAACAGTTCTGCTGGAGAAATTCAGCAGGTCTATAGAGAGAAAGCAGAGTTAACATTTCGGGTCCAGTGACCTTCCTCAGCACTTTTATTTTGCCCATTAATGCTTGTGAGTTTTAATGAAAGGATTATGAGCAAATACCTTTTTTAAACTTAAGCCAGTTATCTCAGTGTAAGCTTGTCTTTTCTCTAAGACAGCAAATGTACAGGAATGCAGATGCTGTAAATCAGAAACCAAAACTGAAATTGCTGGAAAAGCTCAGCAGGTCTGGCAGCATCTGTGGCAAGAAATCAGAGTTAATGTTTCGGGTCAAGCCACCCTTTCTCGCCACAGATGCTGCCAGATCTGCTGAGCTTTTCCAGCAGTTTCTGTTTTCGTACAGTAATGTAACCTGGCTTTCAGTTTTGGCACACGTAAAAGTATTCCTAGAGCAATGTAAGTGCACAACAAAAACAAAGTTTATATAACTGTACCAAGCAATATATCTAAATTAATTCAGACACTTGAGAAGATTAAACAATGTTACATAAGTCTGAAATTTTCCATTATCCGTAACAGCTTATCCTATGTGTTCTCTGAGAAGTTTACTTATGCGTATAGGTGTATATTCAGGTAGAACTGAGGTGAGGCTGCTGATACTCATTTCAACTAAGATCTTTGCAACTGGTAGAGGAGAGAGAGAGCGGAAGCTTTTGTCTCTTGAATTTCAACCAGGTATTAGTCAAAAAAGTTGCATGAAAATGTATTGCTGCTCAGTTTTCCCTCAGCCTCATCCAAGCTAGTCTTTTTAAAATATTTGTATTTCAAACTAGAGAATTTAGAAGGGTCACTGGACACAAAGCATTAACTTTGCTTTTTCTCCACAGGTGCCGCGAGACCTGTTGAGTTTCTCCAGGAATGTCTCTTTTTGGTATATATTGGTCTGACTTGGTTTTCAAACATGAGAGAATAGTCTTGTACTTGATAGATTTATATTTAATACTTTTAGCTGGGACGTGAAGAACCTGCAATGTCTATGGATGCTAGTGGTAAAATTATTTGGGCCAAGCATTCTGAAGTCCAGCAGGCTAACCTGAAAGCAATGGGAGATACTGAGATAAAAGATGGTGAAAGACTGCCTTTGGCTGTGAAGGACATGGGAAGCTGTGAGATTTATCCACAGACAATTCAACATAATCCCAATGGAAGGTAAAGCTTTAACTTGCACTAATTTAAAACTGTATTTTTTTAACAATTGCACAGTACAAAATAGACTTAAGATTAATATTTATTTTGTATCGAAGTAAAATCAAAATATGGTTACCATAACTGATTTTAACTACTCCAGGATAGTTACTTGGATAAGTTAATATAACCTTTTCTAAAATGTAGAAATTTACTGTTTGGAGTATTAGAAATGGACAGTGTAAAGGAATTATTATGTGCCATTGTGTTTGGCATCTTTCAGTCCAATGCAGTGCTTCCCAAGCATGTTCCCACTGTTATTTCATATTGAGACTTGTAAATTGTCGCAAATACTCTGATAGCGAATGGGTTCTTGGAGAAACGTAAGAGGGTGGGGTAGGGGAGAGAAATCTGTGTGAACTGGTTGCAGGGAGGTGAGGGCTGGTTATCATGTCCTCTGAGTGCAAGTGACTATTGGAGTGTCAGCACTGTTAGATCCGTATGGCAGCATTTGCTGCCTCAGAACATGTAACCCCCATATTTCAGCTTGTGACCCCAATTGCAGTCCTGATCCCACTTTGGGAAGCCCTGGTTTAGTGCAATGATGGTTTGTATTTTGTTAATAAACTGTATTAAACAGTGTAGCTCAGAATACACCACTTCGGCATAGCAGTTTTTACTATATTTGATACAGATTAAGACTGTAGCCCAAGAAACTGCAGGATTTGCTGACCTATATTTTCCCTGGACCCTATGCTTAGCGATAAGAAGTTTCTATTTCTTATTTCCTCTTGCAATACTCCTCCAAACAGTCAGACTCCAGAGGTTGTAGTCATTGATGACTGTCTTCCAGTTGGCTGTATTGATGTTTGTCACCTTCTCTTTTGTTTGCAAGTGCCATTGTAGCAGATGTATGGATGGCCAGCAGGGTGTAACACAGTTCACACACAAGAATCTTTGGCTACGTGCACATAATCCTTCTGAAAAATGTGGCTCAGCCATGGCAAATATTGTTATCTTAACAATAAGCATATGCTGCTGAAAACAGCACACTCCAGGTAGGCCATCTAAACTGGTGACCTTGTCCTACCAAGCAATGCCAAGGATATGTCTGAAGTAGCAAGGCTGGATACTGTTTTTCCTGCTGAAAATATGTTGTCCAGGTAGAGGAGGGCTCTTTTCGGGAAAAGGAAATTTTCATTCATGTGTTCATTTGAATTTTGATACTTAGGTTTGTGGTAGTCTGTGGTGATGGTGAATACATTATCTACACAGCGATGGCTTTGAGAAATAAGAGCTTTGGATCTGCACAGGAGTTTGTATGGGCACATGATTCTTCTGAGTAAGTAAAATTCCAATTATTTGATTTTAATTAATGGTCAAGAAACACTTGAACAATTAATGGAGTTTCCTTTGTTTTTAGATATGCAATCAGGGAAAGCAACAGTGTGGTGAAAATATTCAAAAATTTTAAAGAAAAGAAATCATTTAAGCCTGATTTTGGAGCAGAAGGTAAGGAGTTTCATAATAGCAACTGGATGTAAATGAGATGATAGCCAAGTTTAGCAAATATCCCTTTCCCTACAGAATTATGAAAGTAGCCCATTCTCCACATTAGTACATCCAGCAAATTGAACTTTCTTTCTCCCCAGTCTTCCCTGCTCCCCCCCCCTACCAACCCCATGTAAACCTTTGACTGGCTTTGGTGTGAGTTAATAGAGTGGAGAAACTTAAGCTATTTTTGAGTTGCTTCAGGAAGTTATCATATTTTGGGAATAAATGTACAGGAAAAGAATTTGATTGTTTCTGTCTGTTGTATTTAAAATTGGTAGGTTCAGTTGGAACAGCTTAAATGTTTTTGAAGCCAAACTATAGTTTGCACAAAATTCCAGGTAGATGGAAAGTCTGAAGTTAGCTTTCTTGTAGTATTTGCATGTAATTGTACTTTTCAATAAGCGATACATTATAAATCAATTATGTAACTGCTTGGATTGCCTTTTAAATAAAAACAAAATGGTCAGACATTTGAGTCAGCCACTGGAAGATGGTGAGAGACATCTGTTTTATAATTCAGAACTAAAAAGACACCTATGCAAGATACACTGTCCCTGATGATAAACTAGAAAGTTGTTCTGTACTTTGGGTGAGTAGAGACACTGTTGAGAGTGGAAATTCAAAATAAGATTCATTGGAGCATGAATAAAGCAAAGTAAATGTGGGAGATGATGTGATGAAAAGGAAGAATGACGGCTTAAAAGAGGAAGTAAACAAGAAAGAGGCAAAAAGGGATGATCTGACAATGCATTATCCTATCAAGTGACTTAATTTTTCATGTCACTGCTTTTGGCTCATTCTTAAAGATGCAATGTAGTTAGGTTATGAAGACTGATATCCTGTAATTTTCAGTCAATGGAGTATGTACTAGATTAGACTATAATTGAAGTTGGAAGACTGAATTCTGGAATGTTCTTTCAAATATATTTGCAAACAGTTTGTCTTTTTTTTTGTTTTGTGTGATGTTCTTGTTTGATAATTTTAAAGCTTTTCATATTCATAGGCATCTATGGAGGGTTCCTCCTCGGTGTCCGCTCAATGAATGGCTTGGCGTTTTATGACTGGGACACCACTGAGCTCATCCGCCGAATTGAAATACAGCCCAAACATGTGAGTGATTATAACCTGACTATTTGTGTTACACCAAGGGAGAATATTCCAAATTAAGAACAAAATGTGACTTTTCAGTGTTTATCTTAACGTAAATATATCATCTTTTTTCAGAATCTTAATGTATTTCGTTCTGGTACATATTACTTCTGAAATGTTCTTAAGATATAAATATGTGACTTTTCGAGCTGATCATTTTTACATTGCTCTCTCAATAGCGGATGATGTGCTCCCAATGAAAATAGCATCTGTATAAGAGGATTTACAGTATTTATTGCTGAGATTTTTCTTCAGATCCTGTACTCTGTCCATGTATATGTATGTGTAACACTGTGCACAGTTGGAGATTGCTGTATACTAGTGGGCATGTTGTTGATGGCAAATCATTTAAAATTAATGAACTATTATTTGTTGTAGTCGGAAAAGCCAGGTAGCTTGTGCACATGGTTAGAACTTGCAGTAAGTAACTAACAAATCTGACTGAACTTTCAAAAAATGTAGTGCTAAATTAAGAGAAGTGACTTAAACCTCCAGAAGTAAGATAAATTTTACTATGAAGTAACTTTTAAATATTTTGGAGAGGAATGCAACTTAGTATGATGAATGCAGCCTCTGTTGAATTCAGCACAGTGTAGAGCTGGAGGAACACAGCTAGTCAGGCAGCAGCAGAAGAGGAGCCAAGTCGACATTTCTGGTCGGGACCCTTCTTCAGAACTGGGGGATGGGCGCTGGGAAATAAATTGAGGGAGGAGGGGTGGTGCTGCGGGAAGGTAGGTAGGATGGTGACAGGTGGATGCAGGTCGGGGGTGGTGGGAATTGGTCAGTGGGAAGGGTGGGGCAGATAGATGAGAGGGAAGATGGACAAGTTGTGTCAGGTCAAGGAGGTGAGAGGGAGGATGGGTGGGGCTGGGGAAAGGTACGTGGGGTGGATAATAGGTGAATGCAGGTAAGGGTAGTGGGGATTATTCAGTGTGAAGGAAGGGGCAGATGGGTCAAGGAGGCAGGGATGAAAGTGGGGGTTGGGCGTGGGATGAGGCCGGGGATTGGCAGGTTTTAAAACGGGTGAATCCTATGTTCAGACCATTGGGCTGTAGGCTCCCGAGGCGGAATATGAGGTGTTGCTCCTCCAGTTTGCGGGTGGCGTTATTGTGGCACTGGAGGAAGACCAAGTTGGAGGATGTACAGGTGAACCCTTGTTGGATATGAAAGGTTTGCTTTGGGCCTTGAATGAAGGTGATGTGGGGGTGGGGGTGGTGGCGGGGTTGGGGGGGGTGGCGGGTGCGCGTGGGGGAGGGGTGGGCGTGGGAGGGGAGGGGGTTGTAGGGGCAGGTGTAGCACTTCCTGTGGTTGCAGGGATAGGTGCTGGGGTTAGTGGGGAGGGTGGAGCGGGTGAGGGAGTCACGGAGTGAGTGGGTTCTACGAAAGACAGATAGGGATGGGGAGGGAAATATCTCTTTGGTTGTGGGGTCAGATTGTAGGTGGCAGAAGTGGCAGAGGATGATGCGTTGCTGCAGAGGTTGGTGGGGTGGTATGTGAGGACCAGGGGGATCCTGTCTTTATTTCTGTTGGGTAGAGGGGATGTGAGGGCAGAAGTGCAGGAAATGGATGAGATGTGGTTAAGGGCATTTTTGATCACCGGAGGGGGGATATTGCGGTCCTTGAAATAGGAGGACATCTGGGATGTTTGGGAGTGGAACGCCCCATCTTAGGAGCAGGCGTGGCAGAGCCGGAGGAACTGGGAGTAAGGGATCGCATTCGTGAAGGAGGGTGGATGAGAGGAGCTGTAGTCCAGGTAGCTATGGGAGTCGGTGTGTTTGAAATAGATGTTATTGTTGAGGTGGTTACCAGGGATGGAGACGGAGAGGTCCAGAAAGGGGAGGGAGGTATCTGAGACAGTCAAGGTAAACGGAGATGAGTTCAGTGGGGCAGGAGCAGGCAGAGACAATGGGTTGGCTGGGGCAGTCAGGTTTGTGGATTTTAGGAAGGAGATAGAACCGGGTAATGCGGGATTGGGAACGTTGAGGTTGGAGGTTCTTGGTGGGAGGTCACCTGAGATTGTGTGGTTATGGATGGTCTGAGAGATGATGGTTTGGTGATCAGAGGTGGGGTCATACTCGAGGGGGCGCGAGATGGAGGTGTCAGAGAGTTGGTGCCTGGCCTCCGCAATGTTGAGGTCAGTGCATCCTACCACTACTGTGCCCCCGTTATCGGCAGGTTTGATGGTGAGGTCAGGGTTGGAGCGGAGGGCTGCGCGTTCCGATGGGGAGAGGGGTGGAGACATTGAGGTGATTGATGTCGTGACGACAGTTGGAGATAAAGGGGTTGAGCGAGGGTAGGGGGTCATGGGGTGGTGTCCAGGGGGATGTGGGTCCACCCGTCACTTCCCACCTACCTTCCCCCAGCCCCACCCCTCCTCCCTCTATCTATTTCCTAGCCCCCTTCCCCTTCCCCGCCTCCCCATTTCTGAAGAAGGGTCCCGACCCGAAACATTGACTTTCCTGCTCCTCTGATGCTGCTTGACCTGCTATGTTCTTCCAGCTCCACACTGTTGACTCTGACTCCCGTATCTTCAGTTCTTGGTATCTTTGAGCCTCTGTTAAAGTTTGCTTTGTAAATTATTCCAGATTGAATAGAAATAGAGGAAATGGCAATTGGTATCAAGGGAGTAGGAAATAAAAATGATCTGAGTTATAGTCATACAGCATGGAAGTAGATCCTTCAGTCCAACTAGCCCACACCAATCATGTTCCCAAACTAAACTAGTTCCATTTACCTGCATTTGCACCATATTCTTCCAAATTGTTCCTATTTATGTACTTGTCCAGATGTCTTTTAAATGTTGTAACTGTACCTGCATCCATCACTTTCTCTGGCAGTTCATTTCCACACATGAACAATTCTCTGTAAAAATGTTGGCCCTCATGTCCTTTTTAAAACTTCCTCCCCTCACCGTAAAAATACGGCCCCTAGTTTTGAACTCCCCCCACCCTAGGGAAAAAACCCTTGTCATTCACCTAATCTATATCCCTCATGATTTTATAAACCTTGATAAGGTCACCCCTCAGCCCCCTGCGTTGCAGTGAAGAGAGTCCCAGCCTATCCAGCCAATTTTTATAACACAAACCCTCCATTCCAAGCAACACCTTGGTAAATCTTTTCTGAACTCTCTCTAGTTTAATAATATTCTTCCTTCAGCAGAGTAACCAGCACTGCACAAAGTACTTTAGAAGAATCCTCACCAACATCCTGTACAACCTCAACATGACATCCCAATTCCAATACTCAAAGGTCTCAATGAAAGCAAGCATGCTAAATGCCTTCTTAACCACGCTGTCTATCTGTAGCGCAAATTTCAAAGAACTATGTACCCGAACCATTAGGCTTCTCTGTTCTATGACACTACCCAGGGTCGTATCATTAATTGTACAAGTCCTGCCCTTGTTTGTTTTACCAAAATGTAATACCTCTTCTAGTGAGATTGAAGTAATGAGTAGGAAGCCTTTTCCTGTACCTAACCTCAAATGACATTAGGCATTCGCTACTTATAGTCGCATAGGTGTTATGAATAATAGTTGCATTTCAATTCTCCTCTCTCAAGTTTCACTCCTTTTCTGAGGACACTGATCTATTTTAGAATACAAGTTCACATTCCCTTCTTTAAGTGACAGTTTTCCCCAAGACCAGATCTGAAGTGTATGTAGACTAGTCCCCTGAATAGGGAATCATAACCAAGCCTGATCATGTTTTTACACATGCTGTTTGCTCGTAAGATCACTGGATCGTGATCAGGTTTGCAAATTTAGGCTGATTCTGCTCCCCACCTCCTTCCTAACTCAATAGCACCAAGACCCATTGCATTGTTCATTCCACCAGTCTAAACAAGACTGAATTGTTCTAAATTATAGGATACTAAATCTTACAATGCATTTGCTACATCAACCTTAACTCCATGCTACTTTTTCTTTCCTTGCAGATATTTTGGTCAGATTCTGGTGAACTAGTGTGCATTGCTACAGAGGATTCCTTCTTTGTTTTGAAATATCTTGCTGAGAAAGTGGCTACGGCACAGGAAACACACGAAGGAGTTACAGAAGATGGCATTGAAGATGCCTTTGAGGTCAGGTTGCAAATACTTAACAGCTGAGATGTTACTTAAAAGCAGAAAAAAAACTGAACATTTTAGGATATAAAAAGTTGCTTAAATAAAACCTGTCTTTCATGGGTATGGTGAACTAAATGACCTGCAGTGCAGAAAATCTTATGTTTTTAATTACAATAAGCTGCAATTATGCTACTCCAAGCTTGACATGTTTTTGATTGTTTTGAATTTTTCTAATTACTTGGTATTGGGAAATTGTTCCACTGAGTTAAGTGGTTTGTTTAATTTCTTTGGATATACTTTTTCCAGGTTCTTGGTGAAATTCAAGAAATTGTTAAGACTGGATTGTGGGTAGGAGACTGTTTTATCTACACCAGCTCTGTGAACAGGCTCAATTACTATGTTGGTGGAGAGATTGTCACCATTGCCCATCTTGACAGGTCAGTGGGAGAGCAGTGGAGAACTTGCAGGACTTACAAATAATGCTCAATATCAAATGCTTAAGCAAAATTTGTTTTTACTTGTTCATGGAAAGGTGTCACTGCTGGCCAGTATTTTATTATCCATCCATAATTATTCTGAAAGGGGAGAGTGATCTAGCACTGATTTGTGTGAGTTCTGTATTTGTTACCTAATCTATAACTAATACTTTGGAAAGAAAAAATTCAAAAATTTGTACAGTCTGGTTTCGGGTTCCTTACCAGATCAGCTGCAGGCATGAATAGTAAATGTACAGCATTTAACAGGTCGTGAGTGAAAGTTAGCTGTGTTTCCCGAAGTATGCCTTAGGAACAATTATAACTGTTTACAGCTGTAAACCAAAGACCTTAAAATCACAGCATAAAGTAACAGTGTGATAAATTGATATGACTATTCATACTAAATATCAGTTGTAATTCCACTTCCTTTCCCTTTAAACCAGAGCTTTGCAGTCTGAAAAATTCTTTTCTTCCTTTGATAGATGTTAGAATACAGTTCCATGGACACTGATTTCCTGGCTATAACCAACTAACCGCCCTCTACATATGAAGTCTGGGACTTTGTGTCAATGGGCTATTTATTGTTGGGTTATCATAGACAAGCCCAATGTTATTTTTCATCCAGCTTTACTGACACCGGTGCCCTGTATACTTTTTTTTTCATTTCTCCTTGACCTAGGGACTTGTCTTCATTAGCATCAGCTAACTTCGCCAAAGATTGAGCTGGACACTTGTGCTCTGTTTGATTTGATCTGTATTCACTCATTGGTTATAAAAGAAACTTTGAAGTCTGCTAACTGAACTCGTAGTTCCAAAATGATGTACATAACTGAAACTGTTATTTTCATTGAAGATCAATGTTAAAGTGTTACAATTTAAGTGCCAATATTATTTTTTCAGAACAATGTACCTCCTGGGTTATATCCCAAAAGATAATCGACTGTATTTGGGAGATAAAGATTTGAACATCGTCAGCTATTCTTTGCTTGTCTCTGTGCTCGAATACCAAACTGCAGTCATGAGGAGGGACTTTTCCATGGCTGACAAGGTTCTTCCCACAATTCCAAAGGAACAGAGGACAAGAGTAGCACACTTCCTTGAGAAACAGGTTAGATGGAATATAACAACAAAAATGTCAGAAATACTTTTTGTAGATTGTTTCATTCAACAAGGGCGTTTCTCAGCAGAAATGATCCACAACTTCCACACTCCACAATGCTTAACTTAAAGTAAGCAAGCAGTTGAAAGACAGTTCTTGTTGAGCACTTCTCTAATTGCTAAATTGTCTTATGTGGAAATTTCTTTTCAAAAAGTCAATTTTTAAATATTCCTATTAAACACTTGTTTTTGGTTGCAGCTTTATTTAGGTGTTCTAAATTGAATAATACTTGGCAATTTTCCTTCAGTAATGTGAAAAACTCTAATGCTCAAGTATGACAAGCACATTAGAGTTTTGGTGATTGTCTAATGGTTAAGGAAATCTCTCTTGTATGTCCAAGCACATCCTATGTTAAAGACACAGGAGGCCTGGCAGTTAAAATTGAATACAATGCTTCTTTGTATTTATTTGTTTTGTCTAAAATACATTAAGATATGGAAAACTTGGCTTGTGAATGGGTGGAAGAAATTCCTCAAGATAGTCAGCAGGAAAAGAGATATTGAATAGTGGGTGCACAGTTTGAAACTTGGCAATGGTAGGGTTGTGGTGGAAGGGAAAGTACAAAAAACCTTTAGGGAAAGTTTATCAAGAAATGGAAAATAGGAAAGGAAGAAAGAAAGAAGGAGAAAAGTGAAAATAATTAAAATGTTTGTAATGATAAGTACTTTTGGCTACAGTATGTGTAATGACTTTAAAATTGCAGATGATGATTTTTGCTGTACTACTTGATATGTATATTGTAACCTGTAAGAGTTGTATGTTCAGATAGAAGACTTGACCCTGAAAAGTTACTTGAAAACCAGTTTCAAATTCATATAACTTGGCATATTCTTGGATGCTTGCTGTTTTAATTCTCATGAAACATACCATGTCCTTGACTGACAGTTTGTTTCCTTATGCTGCTGGATTTATGATCGCAGCAATAATTTATCATAAACTGAACACTAAAAAATCTATAATAGGATTTTGGTTGATGTCTCACCTAATGAACAAAATCAGTCTTTGATTCACCATTTTCCCTATTACCTATCCCAAAATGATACTGTCAAATAAGGGATTTACAGCAGAATTAATTTCTCCTGCATTTCTCTCTTGAATATTTATCCTTTACCTTGGCAGTTTTGTAGATATTATTTCCATAATTTTCTACATTTAAAAGCTGTTTGATCCCTTAGTTTGTAGAAAACTTAAAATAATGTAATGTTTCCTTGTAAAATTGTTACTCTGTATCCCAAATTCCCCATTTCCTTCATTGACTATTTGCAGAAATTGGAAGAAATTGTGTTTGGTCCTGTGGTTGGTTTGGAAGAAATAGATTAAGTGCAATGGTATGATATAAGGAATGGTAATGTAGTCTCCAGGAAACTGTGAGAGCAGCATAGAAATTAAGAATATTTGATAAACTTTCCAGTCTAAATTACAAACAAAATAAATTCACATTTTAGTTCCTGTTGCAATTTATCTTGGTGAGGTGAAATCAATGATGGCAATCCTGTCTATGTCAAATTTGTTACACTCTTGTCAGTCGCCTTGCAACATTTCCCTATTTTGAAGCTGCTGAGCAAATGTAAGTTACGTTGGTGCAGCTGTTTGGTGATGTGGTGACATTTTACTTCTAGGTAAATAAGAATTTTTTTTTTTTTTTTTAAAGTATTACACGACTAATTTTAGGCCCAAAACAATAGACTTGTACATCAGTAAGTCATGCTGATAACAAATGAAATCCGCCATTTTTAATCCAAACAGAAAATCAATGAACTAAACATAAATGGAATTCATCTTGACAAATTCAGACTGGTAGATTTTCTCCACAGCATCCTAGTTAATTTACAAATGAGAACATTCTTTGTTTTCCAGTCCGTATCTTTAAGCTGTTTACTTTTTCCATACACAGGGTTTCAAATCACAGGCTCTTGCGGTATCCACTGATCCAGAGCACCGCTTTGAGCTTGCACTGCAGCTTGGAGAGCTCAAGATTGCATATCAATTGGCTGTAGAAGCAGAGGTAACACTTGTATTAATTAGTTTCTTTTATTCGTTCACGGAATATTGGTTTGGCTGATAGGAGTTTGTTGCCTATCCCTAATTGTTTTTGAATCAAGTGATTTGTGAGGCTATTTCAGTAGGCAGTTAAGAGGCAAACAAATTTACTGTGGGTCTGGAGTCACGTGTAGGTCAGACCAGATAAGGATGGTAGATTTTCTTCCTGAAATGATATTAGTGAACTAGATGGAATTTCACAGCAGTCTCATGGTCACCATTACAGAGACTGGCTTTCAAATCCAGATTTATTCATTGATTTGAAAATGCCCTGAATTACCACGCTGCTACATCGACTCTGATTTCTTTGATCTGAAACCTGAAAACTCTAGAGTGGGTGGGTAATGTAGAAGCAAGAGTAGGCCATTTGGTCGTTCATTATGAACTTTGCTGAACCTTATCTCTGTCATAGTTTGGCTCTCCCCAAAACCCTTGACACTGTTTCTGACTAGAAATCAATCTACTTTTAAAAATATATTCAGTGATTTAGCCTCACTGCCTTGTCTAGTTGGGCATTCCACAGGTTCACCATCCCTGTAATTTCTCTTTATCTTAGTCCCATATGGTTTACCCCATATTCTGAGAGCATGACCCCTTTTAGATCCCGTCTGGCCAGTGGGTATATCATCCCTGTATCCAGTCTGTTTAACTCTGTCAGAAATGTGTATGTTTCGGTGAGATTTCCCTCTCATTCTTCTAAACTCCAGTGAGTACAGAATGATTGACTCCATCTCTCTCCATGTGAAAAACCTGCCACACCGAGGAATCAGTCTGATGAACCTTTGCTGCTCTCCTTTTATGAAAATGTAAATTTTCTTAAGCAAAGAGACCAAAACTGCTCACAATATTGCAGGTTTGGTCTCAACAACGTGCAGACCTACTGCAGCAAGGCGTCTTTGCTCTAGTACTCAAATCTTCTTGCATTGAAGGCCAACATACTGTTTTCCTTCCTAACTGCCTACTGTACCTTTCTACTTGCTCACAGTGACTGGCGTGCAAGGACAGCCAACAATTTCCAATTTATCACTGCTTAAATAGTTTTCTGACATTGTTTTTCCTGCTGATTGGATAACTTCACATTTATTAATGTTGTATTTGCCACTTATTTGCCCACGCGTTCAATTTGTCTACTTTGCATTGAAATTTTTTCACTTCACCTCATTACACTCCATTCCTCCCAGTTGTGTCATTAGAAAAGTTGGAAATGTTACATTTGATTTCCTTCTCAAAATCTTGGATATATGTCTACTCTGTTTCCTATCTTTCAATCAGTTTTCAATTTTTTTAAAAATTCTCAACCGTCATCAGACTTAGCTAGATTGTTCCTTACAATTATCCCAGCTTTGACGCGGAACCAATGTTTGAGAACCTTGAACTGAGGCAACAATTTGACTGTTATTGCTCACATACTTTATTTGTTTTGGAGTGGGACAACTGTATGTTGTGTATTTTTGGCAGGTTAAGCACCATTTAGAGTGGTCTAATAATATTTCAGGTGTAGACCCTGAATTAAAGCTGAAAAGTATACAGATGAACAGAATTTCTATTTAAAAAGGAAGAGGGTACAAACATTTGCAGACAGAGGAAAGAGGATTTTTACGTATAAAGCAGCACACTAGGCATAATCAAAAGCAGTTACAAGGGCTACATAATGGATGGTGGTATGGTGCAATTAAATCTACTGGAAGTGAAAGCACAGGAAAAATGAGCAACATTCGGGAGCCTGGAATAGAAATAAAAAGTTAAAATTAAGAATACAGACCATTCTGTCAGATGTTTTCTGATGGGGTTTGACACCCCAAGCAGGTTTCAAATATGTAGCTTACTCATTTCATTTAATCCTGCAGTTGATTTTAAGTCTGTGAACCTGTACATCATTTTCTGAAAATAGGTATAAATTGTATTCCAATTCAATTTTAAAAGATTGTTTTGTTTTATTCAAAAAAATTTCTTTTCATCCCCACAGTCAGAACAGAAGTGGAAGCAGTTGGCAGAGCTGGCGATCAGTAAGTGCCAGTTTACCCTTGCTCAGGAGTGTTTACACCATGCACAAGATTATGGTGGACTGTTGCTGCTGGCTACTGCCTCAGGCAATGCTCCAATGGTTAACAAATTAGCAGAAGTTGTCGAAAAAGATGGCAAGAACAATGTGGCCTTTATGACTTATTTCATGCAAGGAAAGTAAGTACTACACCTTTCAATCTTTACTTTTAACTTCTTTGACAGACTTTCTAAATTTCAATCACTTAACACTGCTGAATACAATTAATTTCTATCAACAATGAATTGTGTTTTTTTATCATTTTGTTTTCAGATTTTCAGCTTATGATTACGATAGTGATTTGAATACAATTTGGAGAGCCTGGACACGTCCACTTCAGGAAATTGTCTCTTTCAATACACCCTGTGGAAAATTTAAAAATATCTCAATTACATGACCCCAAACATTCTATAGTCAAATAATCTTAACCAGATTTATGCAACCTGTCTCTTTAATTTTATTTTTTAAGCTCTTGTTGAGTGAATCATCGTTCCCATTCAGGTCCTGTATATTCTTCCTATATTTGTTCCTGCTATTTGGTGTCTAAATTGAATCTAATATATTATGAAGAATATACAGCAAAGAAAGAGACCATTTCCCCAAGGTTTAAACATTGATGTACACAACGACACCACCCCGAAACAAAATCCATCCACAGTAATGTAACATTGACCAGAGTTGTGAATTCAATAAGCGTATTTGGCTATTCTGTTAAGCTTGCAATTATTTTATCTTTTAAAATTATTTCATGCAGGCTTGACAATTGTTTGGAATTGCTGATAAAAACAGGACGTCTCCCAGAAGCTGCCTTTTTTTCCAGAACCTACTTGCCAAGTCAGGTTTCTAGGTATGAGTCTACAGTTTCAATTCCATCATAGCACAGTGCAATCTTGCATGTTTACATACAAAAATACATGTGCATAATAATTTGCATTCTGACACTAACTTTTCCTTTTAGGGTTGTGAAGCTCTGGAGAGAGAATCTTGCCAAAATAAACCAAAAAGCTGCAGAATCTCTTGCTGACCCCACAGAATATGAAAACCTATTCCCAGGCCTAAAAGAAGCTTTTGTAGCTGAGCAATACCTGAAAGAAACCAGCAAGACTAAAGAGAGACCCGCCAGGGATTACCCTCTTGTCACTGTAAGTCATAGCATCCTTTTATGTTATAAAAATGTTGAGAATTTGGATTAAAGTGGAATTTGCCAGCGCTAATCTTGTTCCTGCTATTTTGCTCACTAGCCAAATGAAGAAAGGAATGTTATTGAAGAGTCAAAAGACTTCACACCATCTCATCATGGAGCATCAGTTGAGGTAGCTGATTACTATAAAACACACTCTTTCTTCAGAAATAAAAGAAAAAGTATTGGAAAAATTCAGATCTGGCAATGTCAAAGTTAACTGAGTTGAGTCCAACATGACTTCAGTGCTAGAGAGTTGTGTTGGATTCACTGTGAATGCTGTTTCTGTCTCCAGATACTGGCCAGACCTGCTGGATTTTTCTGACACTATTTTTATTTCAGATCTCCACCATCCACAATAACTTGCTTTTGTTCCTCGATTTCTGAGTTGGAAAGTTAGTGTTGAAGTCAAAGCCCTCCACAACCATGGACACATCTTTACTGTTAATCTATTGAAAATGTTTCAAGCTGGAGTTAGAAACAGTTCATAAATCAAGAATTTGCATGTCTCAGTTGAGGAAGGAACTCTGCTGGCAGCATTGTAGTCCTGCAATATTAAAAATTCAAACAAGGATTTTTTTTTTTTTTTTTAAAATGACTGATTCCCCGGACCAATATAACAAAAAAAACTGTCTTTTTCTGGATACATTAAAAATAACCTTGATATAATTAGAAGATTTCAACATTTTATGTTTTGTCATCATAGGATTCTAAAGATGAACAGGAAACCATGTCAAGTGTGTCTACACCAGTTGCATCAATGATAGCAGACGCAAAAGCTGTATTAGAATCAGACCCTGCTTACGTGGTGACTGCACCTGTCCCACGAGGAATGGACATTGAAACTAAAAAGGTATTTCAATTTGAGCAAGATAAGAAAACTCATTTAAGCAAATCCATGTTTGTAAAGATCAATATCGACTCAAGCTGTAAAGATGAACTCCATTGACTGGCCACTCCTTACTGAGGTGAAAATGGAGTATTGCATTTATTGAAAAGGAAACCATTTATGTTTTTGAAATAAAAGAAAAGAACATTATAAAATAAAACCAAATTGATAATGGATTAAAAACCGAAAGAACTGCGGATGCTGTAAATCGGGGACAAAAACAAAGTTGCTGCAAAAGCTCAGCAGGTCTGGCAGCATCTGTGAAGGAAAAAACAGAGTTAACATTTCAGGACCGATGACCCTTCCTCAGAACATTAATGGATTAGGTAGCTTGGGGCCAAGATTGTGCATCCTGAATTTCAGAAAAAAAAGGTAAACAGAATGGCACACAATAAACCACTAAATAAATTGGTCCTCCAATAGATAGGGTGGCATGTTTTGGGTTGGATAATTAATTGATTGCATTCTTGTAGATACAAAATAGTTAATCACAGAGCCCCAGAAATAGATGTTTTTCACCATCATTAATAGTGGTGGATATAGACTATTTGGTCTGTCTCTAAGATTGTTGTTAGTGTACAGAACGTGATGAGCAAATTTATGAAAATTCCATTGTAGTAGATCTAACTTCAATGAGAAATTGACATCCATCTGGCAAATGTCACTTGTACATAAATATAACATATAGATGGATAGACAAGTGCAATCTTGTCATAACATTACATAAATATGAAGGTCTCTTTCCAGTATCGTGAGACTACTGCCAGGATGATTAAATATACAGCGTGTTATTATATTGTCTTCATAGAAGACCTTGTTTAGGCCTTATCGAGAATGCAGTGTCAAGCTTTGGTGACTCCAGGTGCTGGGTGAACTAGCAAACCTGGAGAAGTTTCAGAAGTAGACCATAAAATTGAGATCTAGTTTTAAAGGCCTTTATAAACCGCCAGTGGCTTAAGAGCTAGAGTTTGTTTTACTTTGGAGTAGTGTAACATTTCAGGATGTTTATTTGAAATATTTAAACAATGAAAGCATTATGTGGTGTGGCTGGGCCAAATTTAGTCAGACAGGTAAGGATCAGGTGACCGTGAATACAAGTTTCAAGGGCATAGAATTACATTAGATTTCAGGAGACATCATTGAACAAATGCAATGTTCCACACAGCAGGATAAATGCCTAAATCTACCTTCCAATTTTGATTGCTTGGAACTTAATTTTCTTCAGGGTAAGGACAGCAATTTGAGTTAAATTGGCCTGTTCTTGCTTCTCCCAGAAGACACCGTGGATACATTAGTTACCTCTAGTCCTGACTCTTCCTTCAAACTCCTGTTGGACTCTCCCACATTTTATCCTCTATACACTTGAAGTTAAACAAAACTTATACCAAGTTCTGTCATCTATCACCCTTACTTTCATTGACATACACAATCTCCAGTTTAAAATTAAGATCTTGTTAAAGTCTCATCCTCATTTTCAAATCCCTCCATAGCCTTACCTGTTTCTATCTCTAAAAGTCCCAATCTAATTCTGACATCTTAAGCACCATTGGGATCACACAATCTAGGAGCTAAGTTCTGGAATTGCCTCCCTCCACTGTCTACTTCACCTTTCTCCTTTAAGACATGTTTGAAACACTCTTGTCAAAGTGACTTGGTGTCATTTTTTATAATGCTCTTTGGGACATTTTATTACATTAAAGCTGATAAAATATAACTTTCTGTTGAAGAGCACAATATGCAGGAGTTATACCATGATATGATCCAGGTGTGCTGCTCTTTATATTTACACATTTG